AAGTTCCTAAATTGCCTGATTTACCTGAATTAAATTCATTTAAGTGAGTAGATATAGTTTTAACTTGGCAAGGAATTGATGTAGGAAAGAGGCTTTAAGAGTCATTAAAACCCAAATTTGAATACTGGTTGCACCATTCCCTACATAAGTGGGCAATTTAACTTCCCTGAGACCCAGATTCCTTAAGATAAGGCTAATACCACCTACCAAAAAATGTCAGCCCTTTGGCAGATACTTCTAGAAACAATCACCTATGATTGAAGTGGGGAGGACTGCCCCTTTAAATGATTGTAAATGTGCTTCTAACTTACAAGAAATTATAAGAACCCAGCCTAAGTCATTGAAGTCATTCTAACTATCCACATTTAGATGACCTAGAGTAAACTTTGCTCACTTTAAAATCAAATTCTCCATCAAGAAGTATTTCTGTCCACCATTTTTAAACTCACAATGTGAGAAGAAGCATGACTTCAAACTGAGTATGTTTAAGAATGTGCCCACCTCTACATGTGATGAGTCTTTTCTGTATGAATATGTATGATTTTCCCCATTAAAAACCCCATGCTTGCTTTCTTGAGGAGACACTGCTTTGGGAATTACCCCCAATTCTCCTTGCTTCAAGTTATAAACTTCACTTTTAAAAAAGTTTTTAGTTGTAGATGAAAACACAGTGTCTTTAATTTTATGTGGTGCTGAGGATCAAACCCAGTGCCTCACACATGAAAGGCAAGTGCTTTGCCACTGAGCCACAATCCCAGTCCATAAACTTCACTTTTTTATCTCCTGGTTATCCCTCTCAGCTGCTGTGATTTATATGTGCTGATAATAGGCACTCAATAAATGTTACTTCCCTTTCTAGCGTGCTCCCTGTGCAATCCTATACACCATTCAATACTGTCTGATGACCATATGCACATCTGCACATATATATGTATCTGATACCGGTATGCAGTAATATCTCTGTACCTTCAGCACAAGGATAGGCACACAAAAACACTCATTTCCAGTGCTTTTATTTACATATTTAACATTCACAAACCAAGTTACAGGTTTCTTCTTTTCACAGGTTTATTATTTATAGGAACAATCAGGATTAAGATGGGAGTACCGGAGAGGACCACGAAATTACCAGCAGTGATGGCGCAGAGTATACAGGCTCTTCAAGGACAATAGAGTGAATAAGAGTGGTGTGTGGCCACTTCCTACCAGGGGTACACTGACTTCATTAAGGCAAAGTCTTGACTCGGACATTTCTTCCTCTTACCTAGTTTAGCCCATCTAGAAAGGTATTCGATTCCTGCATGCCTACTGAGGTGTTAGGAATGTTAAAAGGTATGAGAAATAAGTATATGCATCCCTAGACTATAAACACCTGAAGAGATAAGTTACATCTGATGCATTTACCATCCCTCTGGGAAATTTAAGAGGCAAAAGTTTGAGTTTTAAAACTTTGAGAGAAAAGGTTAAAGTGTGTGGTTGTAGTGGAAGAGACAGGAAAGAATTCAAAAAGAGACGAGGGCAGCAAACCGAACTCTTCTTAATGTACAACTAATTTTGTGTTCTCAGATGCTGCTGATGTGTAGTGTTCCACTACTCAGAAAAAAAGGATCAGCATTATCTACCTCCAATCAATTCTAGGGTGGAAAGTCTAATAACAAGGGGGCAATCCCTGGGGCAGGGGTGTGTTCTTTTTCATGTATACAATAATGCAATCCAAAATTGTGTACTACTATGCTTTCATCTGTTATTCCTATTGTAAATTAATTTCCTGTGTGACCTCAGGCAATTTACTTAGCTTCTTCTGTGCCTCAATTTTCTACATGTAAAATGAGAACTCTGGCACTTTATATCTAGGAGTAGAAGAGACACACCATGCACTGAAGAACAGTGCCCAGCCAAATCAATAAAGACAGAAAGCAGATTGGTGGTTGACAGGGGCTGAGGTGAATGAGTAGTGGGAATGACTGCTCATAGATGTGGGGTTCCTTTGTGAAGCAATAATGGTGTTTTAAAATTAGATAGCAGTGATGTTGTGCAACTCTGTAAATACACTAAAAAACACTGAGTTGTACACTTTAAAAGGGTGAACTTCATGGTAAAGTGTATCTCAATAAAGCTGTTATAAAAATCCTTAAAAAAATAGAATAGTGCCTGGTACATAGTAAGTGCCCAATAAATGTTAGCTATGATTAGTAATATTATTGTCATTATTATTGATTTGGCCATCCTATGGCCTAAGTAAATCCCTAGAAAGTCTCTATTTTTAATAAAAGCCCACGGAATCTAGAAAAATGTGTCTAATTTACATACATAAATTAACATTCATACATTTACTTCCATCCAAAAGTCTCGGAAATTAACAGTCTAGTTAAGAATCACAAATCAGTGCTTTGTACTGGACTAATAGCTGCATGCAAAGAAAGTCTTATGAAATAATGATAAGCTTTAGATAAATTCTGAAGACTTGATGTTCCCCAAGAATTTGAACTGACAGATTTTTCATTTTCCTCTCTGGGAATAAACAGGCAGTCCAAACAACAGTTAAGTCAATAGTATAAAGTACACTGTTAAATCTCCAAATACAGCCATGCCTGCCTTCTGATCACATTTTGAGGAATACTGTTTGTAAAAACAAACAAACAACCCCCCCCAAAAAAAAAGTGGAATGAAAAGAGAAATGCTTACCAGTCTCATGCTCTGTGACCTTATCCAACAGAAAAATCCCCCCACAATAAAAAAGATCAAATTCAAATTCAATTCATGTAATGAAACTTTTAAGAGGCAAAGGGCTTAATGATAATGGTTGACTTTTAAGACCAAACTGCACATTCATGTATGTTGTCATCAACTGAGTTTCAAAAATCTGAACAGCAATTGTCAAATCTTCACCCTTCCTATTGCTAAAGAAAAGAAAATGGTTCTCAGTCTCAGAAGTGGGAGCAGCAAGTGATAATCCTTAATGGTGATGATGGCTCATGTCCTGCAGTGATGCTCAACATGCTTGAATTTCATCTCAAGCATGAAACTTTCCAATTCCTGTAACAGGGCTTCCTCTCTTTGAGCCTCCTACCCTTTCTAGCCCTCATTTCTATTATCAGCCATTGTGCCTTTGCAGCAACTCAGGGAAAGTTGTGCTGAGGGCTACAACTTCTAGACACTTAGGTCTTCTGAGACAGAAGACCAGTGCACTTTCTGCATATATTAAAAACATTTATTTATACCTTCTAACTGACCATTCACTTTCAGAAAAAAATTAAACCTCCAATTTACCCATCTTTCCCCCCCACATTGCTGGGGAGGGGACCCAGAGCTTTGCACATGGTAGGCAAATACTCTACTACTGAGCCACCGCCCCCAGCCCTACACCTTTGTTTTAATCATATAAAACCATTTGCTGAGTCCCCCCAGAGCAATAGATTAATATGCAGATCAAGCTGCCTTAATATCCATTATGTATAACTCCTCCATTGGACACCCCCCCACACAAACACACAAGTTGTGGCCTTAGGAGATTCTGACCAAATGTTTCACCTGAGTAAAATTCAGTAAAGACTTAATTCCCTTTTAAAAGCATGGTTACTTCTCTAATTTTACATTGTAATCATTAGGGCAGATTACAAAGCAACTTTGGGAGAGATATATTAGTAGGAAGTTAGAAAATTTCAGATAATGGAAATTGATAACTTTGAAATTAGGATCAGTTTCAAAGTATTTTACCAACTCAAGACTGAAACATTGGGTTGGTCCTTAATAGGGTTTACCTCACAATTTAAAAGTTTAACTGAAATAAATACAAATATGTAATCAAAAACTCTGGACTGGCTGGGACAGAGGGGATCAACGCTGCAATGCTTTGTGTAATTGAGAATCATTTCAACAACTAGTTTAGCCTTGTATTGTTCACTTGGTTAATCTGGGCATGGATAAATTATGCTCTTAGAATCATATATCTATGTGTAGGTAGTCTTTAAATACAAAACAAATAAATATTTAAATTCTATGATAAAGAAAAAATGTGGAGTAAGAAATTCCTATCTTTATACGTAACTGCATATTTACAACGAATGTTTTCTGACTCCTAATCTTCATCTATTAAGAGTTCTTTAATGTGCAATTTATAGAAGGCAACAGCTCATATTACCTTAAAGGAGGCCTGTTTAGCTCAGAATTAGCCTGTTCCAGATGCTCTGCTCCCTGAAAAGCCTTCACACTTGTGTGCATAAATAGCTGAGAGTAAAAGTAGGTGCACATGTGCAAAATGTACTTATCTATAAAGGGGAGGAACTAATAAGCTTTATAAATAAACTCTAAAAACCCACAAAATAAATTTCTATTCCCCAACCTGAAGAAAACATCTAGTGAAAAAACTGCTAAGCCCACTATGGAAAAGCAGCAGCTGTAATCTCAACTCATTCTACACCATGCTGTAAGCGCCTGTTCTATTAAGCAGCCATTGGAACATTAAATCTCTCCATGTTCAATTGGTTAAACGAAGAGAAGACTTCTGCTTATGTTATACCTTCTGCTCAGAGGCTAGATTACACAAAATCATAAAGAGCTCCTTGTAACTGTGCTATATCCAAACTCCTATACTTTAATGCATAAGCATTAAGAGACCCACTAATCTAAATGTCTGAGGCCTTCCACTTGGATAAGCATCAATATTGGATCATTGTGAATTTCAGTCAAAGTAAAATTATTGTTAACTACTGACATCTTAGATTGCATATTAAGAACTAGGGAGAGCAAGATTAAAAACTAGAGTGCCAACTGAGATGCTGTTAGACAGAAAGGTGACTATATGAAAAACCAAAAGAGGTTGATTTTTTTCCTATACTCTGCTCCTTTTTTAAAGCAACTTGTGTAGAATTTCCTTTGCTCAAAATCTGAACATTGGGTTAATGCACATTATCTCCTCCCACATCTATAAACCCTCTTCCTAACCTCTGTCATTGCTTTTTTAAGCTGGAGAGAGAGAGGGAAAAAAGAGAAGATGGATATAGACTATTCTTCTTTATGAAAGAGAGGCATATTCTAATAGTCATAAGGCAATGTGTTTAAGAACTGCACCTGAACTGGAATTCTCAAAGCTGAAAATAGTCACCAACTCTATTCAACTCGTAGGATGTATCCATGTGTTTCCCCAGTCATTGGTTATCACCCAAATAGACCACAGTGACCCCATCATGTCTTAAGGAGGCATCATACTATGTGTAGTATGCACATGTATTTGAAATAAACATTAAGAGGAAAAGACAGCCTTACAAACATCAGTTCCTTACATAAGTGACCACAGTGCTGCACGGCTCCCTTTTAATACCACCTCCAAAACTGGACAAAAGAGGGTTAGTGTCAAAGTTCCATGGTGAATCGTATCTTTCAGGTGAGCCTTGAATTCACTGGTTTCAATTTTCTGTCTCCTGATTTACTGAGGAGTGAAGGTGAGAATCATCCAACTAATGACAAAGTAAAACAGGAAAACAGGATACACAGCAAGGGCCTTGCGGTTTGGAGGTTGGCTATCAGCAAGAAAAGCTGTAGAGGCTAAACAAAACCAAACAAAAAGGAATATTTAATACAATAATTTTATCACAACTATTAATATTTACTAAACTTCAATAGGCATGGCATAATCTGGAACATAAAATTAAAAGTTCAGTTATATCTGTGACCCACAGAGAATCACACTATAAATTTCTTATGTGGCCTAGGGGTGTAGCTCAATGAAAGAGTATGTGCTTAGCATGTGCAAGGTCCTGGGTTTGATTCCCAGCACCAAAGGGGAAAAAAAAAGCTCACTTAGATTTGATAACCTCAGAGAGCTTAGGGCTTCTTGTTTCAAGTTCTAAAGCTTTAAATATTTTGACCATTTTGAAGAGAAAACTATCTAAAAGAGGTTTCTTAAAACCTTTCTGAAAAGTTAGTGAACTGTGTTGAACAATTACAAAAGACGTGTGAGGTTATTTGCTCCCATGGTGAATACCCTCTTACTGTTACAGATTTTAGGTCCATTGGTCTTTTTACATCATTAGCACTTTTAAATGCCATCTCTCTGTTCACCCAAGAAAAGTCTCACTCATCTTTCTATTCATCAAGGATAAGACCTCTAGGAAATCTTTCCTGAATCACTTGGTACCCTGTCATCTAAGGAAAACTGCTCACCTCTCTCTTTGGGGTCCTCACTGTACCCTGAATAGATGTCCATTTCCCACATGGAACACTACTGCCCTTGTGTATTTTGGTGTCTGCTGCTCCACCAGACTGAACAAGGGCCATGCCCAGCACAGGGCCTAACAATAAGTTTGTGATTATTATTCTTGCAAAATTCAAGTCTCTCTCTCCTAAAATTCTATCTTCTTATCTGCTGTGGGCCTGGACACTGAATATATAAGCTAGTTAGAACTACTTGTATAGTTAACTCTGAGGGAAAAGGGCTTTCCCATGGATAAAGCACCCAAGCTTTTAAACACCTTCTTTGGAACATCAATTATAGCTCTCTCAAAAGGTTTTTCTTATCAACCGTGTTCCAAGTAATGAGATATTACTGTATTTAAAAACATTAGGTAATCTGTTTATGCTATTAAATCAGAAGCTAGTGAACACTTCTAGTTTAAGCTGGAATTTAAAGAAAATTTTAGGAATGTAAAAACAATGGGCATAGTGTTCACTGCCATTGCCATGTCTTTCCTAAACTTTCTACTGAAGCAGGAAAGTACTACGGGTACTGTTGTTGTTTTTTCCTAAGGTGGGGGAGTGTAACCAGGAATTGAACCCAGGGGATCTTCACAACTGAGCCACCTTCCCAGCCCTTTTTATTTTTTGAGACAGGGTCACACTAAGTTGCTTAGGGTCTTGCTAAATTGCTGAGGCTGGCTTTGAACTTGCAATCCACCTGCCTTGGCATCTCGATTTGCTGAGATTACAGGCATGCTCCATCATGTCTAGCCACTACAGTACTTTATAAGATTTCTAATCTGGAAACCTGAAATGCTCCACAGTCCAAAATTTTTGAATGCTGATATGTTGATATGAGTGGAAAATTACACATCTGACTTCATGGCACAGGTCAGTGTTAAAACAGGTATACTAAAAACAGGTGAAAGACCTCTTCAATGAAAACTACAGAACACTAAAGAAAGAAATTGAAAAAGACCCTAGAAGATATCAAGTTCTCCCATATTTGTGGATAGGCAGAATCAATATTGTCAAAATGGCTATATTACCAAAAGTAGTATGCAGATTCGATGTAATTCCTATTAGAATTCTAATGACATTCTTCATAGAAATAGAAAAAGCAGTTATGAAATTCATTTGGAAAAATAACAGGCCCAGAATAGTTAAAGCAATACTCATTGAAAAACCTGAAGCAGGAGGCATCACAATACCAGACATCAAATTATACTACAGAGCTATAATAATAAAAACAGCATGGGGTTGGCACTAAAATAGACCTGAAGACCAGTGGTACAGAATAGAAGACACAGAGACAAACCCACATACATAGAGTTATCTCATACTAGAAAAAGGAACCATAAACATATACTGGAGAAAAATATAGCCTCTTCAACAAATGGTGCTGGAAAAATGGAAATCTGTATGTAGCAAAATGAAATTAAACCGCTATCTCTCATCCTGCACAAAACTCAACTCAAAAGTGGATCAAGGATCTAGGCATTAGACCAGAGTCCCTGTGCCTAATAGAAGAAAAAGCAGGCCCAATTTTCATCATATTGGCTTAGGAACTGAATTCTTCAATAATACTCCTAAAGCATTAAGAAGTAAAATCAAGAATCAATAAATGAGATGGTAGCAAACTAAAAAGGTTCTTCACAGCAAAGGAAAAATCAAGAATGTGAAGAGAGAGCCTACAGGTGGGAGAAAATCTTTGCCACCTGTACCTTGGATATAGCATTAATCTCCAGGATATATAAAGCACTCAAATATCTTAATACAAAAAAAATCAATAAATGGGCAAAGGAACTGAACACGCACTTCACAGAAGAAATATGATTGGTCAAAAATATATATAAAAATGTTCAATATCTCTAGCATTTAGAGAAATGCAAATTAAAATTACACTGAGATTTCATCTAACTGCAGTCAGAATGGCAATTATCAAGAAAAAAAGTAACAATAAATGTTGGTGATAATGTGGTTAAAAAGGTACATTTCATACATTGCTGGTGGGACTGCAAATTGATGCGACCACTCTAGAAAACAGTATGGAGAGTCCTTATAAATTTGGAATGGTACCACCATTGGACCCACTTATCCCGCTCCTTGGTCTATACCCAAAGGATTTAAAATCAGCATACTACAGTGATGCAGCCACATCAATGTTTATAGCAGCTCAATTCACAATAGCTAAGCTATGGAACAAAACCTAGGTGCTCTGCAACAGATGAATGGGTAAAGCAAATGTGGTGTATATACACAATGGACTATTACTTAGCCATGAAGAACAATAAAATTATGGCATTTGCCAGTAAAATGGAGAATATCATGCTAAGTGAAATATGCCAATCCCCAAAAAACAAAGGCCAAATGTTCTTTCTGATATGTGGATTCTAACACACAATAAGTGGGGGGAGGGAAGAATAGAAGTTCACTGGATTAGACAAAGGAGAATGAAGGGAAGGGAGGAGGGATGGAAGTAGAAAAGACAGTACAATGAATCAGACATAACTTTCCTATGTTCATATATGAATACGTGGATCAATGTAATTCCACATCATGTACAACCACAGAATGGGAAGTTATACTTAATTTATGTATAATATTCCAAAATATATTTTTCTGTCATGTATAACTAAAAAGAAGAAACAAAATTTTTTAAATGCAGGTATACTAGCCAGGCATGGTGGCATACAACTATAATCCCAGCAATTTAAGGGACTGACTGGAGGATAGCAAGTTTGGGGTTAACCTCAGCAACTTAGCAAGGCCCTAAGCAACTCAGACCCTGTCTCAAAATTAAAAAAAAAAAAAATTAAAAAAGGGCTAGAGATGTAGCTCAGTGGTCAAATACCCCTGAGTTCAATCCACAGTACTCCTCCCCCCAAAAACAGATATACAAAAAAGATTGTATACAATTACTTTTAATCTATGTGGATAAGATGTATATGAAACATAAATGAATTTCATATTTATATTTTAATCCCATTTCCAAGATATCTCATTATGTATATGCAAATGTGCCAAAAATCTAAAAAACAAATTGCAAATATGAAACTCTTGTGGTCCCAAGTACTTCAGATAAGGGATCTCATACTGTACACAATGATACATACAACCTGTACCATAAGGTGGTACAGTATAATTCTACAGCTGTGTTATCTGCTTGGGTTTGAATCTTGACTCTGATACTCACTAGTTCTGAGTTCCTAGGGTAGGTGTTTAACCTCTCTGTGACTATGCCTCATCTGTAACATTGGACTAACAATAGTTATTTGTCCATTAGGGTTGCTATGCAGGTTAAAGGAGGAAATACATATAAAACAATGTGCTGTGCCTGGCCTAATGAGCAGTCTATAAGTGCTATTACTTTTGTTAAGAAAAGGTCCATGTCATTTCCCAAGTCACTTATTCCTGTTACATACCAGTGCTGAACAGAACATAGTATAAACTACTTTCACAATCTTGCACATTATTTAAGTGAAAAAAAAAAAGACATGTGACTCTACATAAGTCCAGATAATCAACTCAGATAATAGACACCATCCCCATTGATGCTTGCTTAGAGCAAAGGGTTCTACAGATGATACTAGCAAAAAATCATATCATTCATATCTGACTTTGGAGTTTCACTGCTCCTCATCTGTAACTCAAGTTTTGGTCTATTCTGCTACTATAGAGAAAAGTACACACTTACCCACTATAGACCAGACAAACATCACGATCACCACAAAAAGCCGAACCATGAAGTTCACTGGTCCTGGATCTGCCAATAGTACCAGGCGGCAAACCAGCATTGCCACAGTCAAGGGAAGTATACAGTAACCCAGCACACAGAGGCTCTGAAAAAAAGATCTAAACACAACATACATCCACAAAGATCATAAATATAGCTGAATGGTAACATGACACAACTTATTACATAACTCTCTGTATATTATGGACTGCTGCTTCCTCCTTGATATATTATACCTACACCCTAACATTAATTTTATAAGGTTAGTCCTCTCTATTAACCACACATTTTCAGCTTCTTTCCCCATATTCCTCCCTCCTCCCCTCTTAAGCCTCTTAAGATTCAACTTTCTAATACCAGATGATCTACTCTAATTCCTCGAGATCTCCTTCCTCCACTGAATCTCTAAGATGGTGGTCCTTAATCCTTCTAGTTACAGACTGACTTGATAATTTGTTGAAAGCTATGGCCCATCTGTTTCCCACAATGTATATAATTTTTTAATACACACACACAAAAATCCTGCCTGTGATTTTAGGGACTGGTGAAAACATCTAAAGCTTATGAAAGGATCCCAAATAATTTAAGATAACATCTGAAACTTATCAAAGGACCCCACATAATTAAAGTTAATTTAATTGAGCTAGGTTATATCTGCTCAGTGTTTTTCGTTTTTCTTTTTGGTGGTGCTATGGATTAAATTCAGGGCCTTGCACATGCTAGGCAAGCACTCTACCACTGAGCTACATTCCCAGCCCCTACTCAGTGGTTTTAAGATAACTTTTTCTTTGTTCCTCATTAACTTTGATTTGTCTTGTCTTTTCTTTTGAGACAGGGTGTCATTAAGTTTCCTAGGCTGACCTTGAACTCCTGCCTTAGCCCTGAGTTGCTGGAATTACAAGCATTCACCACTATGCTCAGCTTTATATCAGTTTTTCTTTTAAAAAAAAATCTAAATAGGCCAACTTCCTTAAAATCTAAGACAGGTTACCTTGCAAGGGAAAAGTGGTATATTTTAATGATACTCACATGTTTCCTCCAAGAAGTTTTGAGTTGAGGGTGATGGTAACCGCACCAAACCAAACAATGACAAATACTTCCGCAAACTGGGGCCCTCCATCTTTTTCACCATCCACAGAACCTCTTTGCAGCATCCTGAGACAAGAAAACATGAGAATTGCCTGATCTTTAACTTAGAGCAACAAAGTTAAAGTATGGGTTATCAAATTTTGAACCGGATTGCTGTGCTATACCTCATCTGAACATCGTTAATATGTAGGATGTGCTGAAAAGAAAATGCAAAAAGAATCTGGCAAGGATCCCTTACTTCAAATTCCAAATGCTGCAGGACTATATGGGGTTCTCCATTTGACCTTGCTGGAATATTTAAATTAATTACTGTAGACTTTTTTGTTCAAGCAGAGGTTATAAACTGAAAGGCCAAATGTGGCTAACAGACATGAAGTTTGTAGTTTATACAATACTTAAAATAGTTTTAAATTTGAATTTGTTTTAAAATCTGGAGGTTTCACATATTTACTTCTGAGGCTGGTAGAGTGCTTGCCTAAATAACATCCATGAGCCCTGGGTTTGATCCCCAGCACCATACATACCTACATACACACATACACACACACACACACACACACACACACACACACACACACACAGAAGTCAACATGGGGAAATTCAGTAGTCCTGATTAATTATGTGCAGGCCCTGTGTTTAATGTAGAGTAGCAAAAAAGATGAAAATAAATAAAAGACATTTCTGGATTTTCTTGAAAAGTCAAAAAAGACTTTCTCACACTGGGCCTGTAATCCAATACAGCAACAATCAGGCACAACTGTCATAGCAACAAGAGCCAGATCACCACTATGTATATTTAGGTTACTTCTATACTTCTTCGCTCACTCTATGGCACCATTGGACCCATCTGTATTTGTAATTCTTTGGTTAAGGTTTTAGTTCAGATTCTTAAAAACAGAAATAGTCTATAAACCTATTTAGGTATTGATTTTGTATGTGTGTACATGCATGTTACACTAAACCATGTTAACTTGTACTTACCATCTAAGTTAACCTGCACTAACAACCTGAGATTTTCTGTCAAAATAGAAAACACTACTGAGTTCTTATTATGAGGATAAAATAAGAGAAATATTTAAAAGTTTTTTTGTGAACAGGGAAAGTCATTTTATAAACTTGTGCACACTAGACAAGTGCTCTACTACTGAGCTATATCCCCAGCTAAGTTGTAGATTGTTTTACTCAAAACGTACAGATCATTAATAGACTTTACTTTGAACTGAGTAATTGAAGAGTCACTTAAATATCATTTCTTTGTGTATGAATTTTACAGATAGAAAAAGTTTTGAATTCTGAACTTAGAACACTTGAACATGGTGTTATTTTTTCCAGAAAAACAGTGTGTTCATAACCTCTTCTTATTACACAGTATAGAGAAGTCGCACAGTAAGTCTTGCCAGGCTATGCTACGTGCCAGTATGTGCAGGGTTTTGTAGCTATGGCTGTGCATATTCCATTCCAAGTCCTGACAATCAGATGCAAAGAATGTGCTGGCACTCATCATTTGTTGTCTGGAATTCTGACTACTTTAGTATGGTATGATGGAAAGAATATTAACTAGTCTGGAAGGCTGAAGAGCCAGATAATGATCCTGTTTCTGTCATTAGATAAGGCACTCAATGTCTTGGGACTCCAGTTTTCTCTGTAAATAAGTGGGGTTAATCTATATCATATCTAAGAAAGGTTTCAAAATGTGTGTGTATGTGTACAATATAAACCCTTCCATCAAATTACAGAAATGATACCTGTGATATGGTTTTTAGAGGCATAAAAAATAAGTCAGGGGCTGGGGTTGTGGTGCTCAGTGGTAGAGTGCTTGCCTAGCATGTGTGAGTCACTGAGTTCAATCTTCAGCACCATATAAAAATAAATAAATAAAATAAAGAACTATCAACAAGTAAAAAAAAAAAAAAAAAAGATAAGTCAGATGCATGCTTCAAATCCCAGTGAGTCAGGAGTTTGAGGGAGAAGTATAGCATGTCTGATGCCAGCCTCAGCAACTTAGTAAGACACTCTTCTCAAAATAAAAAATAAAATAAAAGGGCTGGAAATATACTGAGTGGTGGAGTGCTACTGGGTTCAATCCCTTCAAAAAGGCATAAGAATTAACAAAATTATGGTGTGAATTAGCATTATTCTCATTTATGTTAAAAAAAAATTAGGGGATAGGTGTATACATCAGTTGGTAGAACACTTGTCTACCATGCCCAAGTCTTCCAGGTTTAATCCCCAATACAGCCCCAAAAAAATTCAGTAGAGAAGCCAATAAGGAATTTGTTAGAATCATAAAGGGTTATGCCTGCCAAAATAAATCCTTTTACAAATATAGAAGAAGAGACCCAGAGTGGCTAGGTGGTAAGAGTTGTAATAATTACAGAAGCAGAGAATAAACCAGTCAGGAAACCTGAGGTTGTGATTTTGGTTAAATCCGCAATCTCTGTGAACCTGAGCTTATTTGTCAAAATTGAAAATAAACCCAGACGGTCATCATTATACAAAATTCATGTATGAAGATGTGAATTTGGTGTCAACATACCTTATATACAAACAGAGATTTGATAAATTGTGGTATAAAGGTGTATTAAGAATTGCATGCAAAAAAATTATGAATGTAATGCACTCCTCTATTGTGATGTATGTAAGAAATAATAAAAAATAAATAAATTTTAAAAAAAGAAAAGAAACCCAAGTTCTCATTATAAGAATAAAATAAGAGAAGGTATATACAGCGAGCAATAAGAGAGTAAGGATGATGACCCAGAATTGAATCCTAGTGCACTATTTTTTCCACTCTATCAATGGCTACATTCCCCTCTACAATGGAAACTTTCTCTCCTCCTTCAGTCCTCCTTCTTTATATACACCATATATAGGAACACATAACAGTCTGAAACATGATCTTGTTTTCAACTCTACCACTTCTATTCTTTTTTTTTTTTTAAAGAGAGAGGAGAGGGGGAGGGAGAGAGAGAGAATTTATTTATTTATTTTAGTTCTCGGCGGACACAACATCTTTGTTGGTATGTGGTGCTGAGGATCGAACCCGGGCCGCACGCATGCCAGGCGAGCACGCTACCGCTTGAGCCACATCCCCAGCCCCACTTCTATTCTTATTCTCATTCACACTTCTAATAAAATTTTTAAAAATATTTGTTTGCAAACAATGCTTAAAACTATAGATATTTTATTCCCTTGCTTCAATGATAGGGACGCACATGAAAGTAATAGATATGTGGTAAATAGACATGGCTAAAATAAACTAAGAAGTCATTGGTCAATGAAGTGGGCATAATTTTCATACCTTTAATTCCATCATTTTTAATTGATTTGCAAAGCTTCTTCACTTTTTTAGGGTTAAATATATAAGGAGTACTATAAGCTATAGAAAAGCTATAGAAATACTAAATGAACCATTCTGTCAAAATCCCCCCATAATTTTGAAACTCCACCAAAAAAGTCTAGTCTAGCTCAAATTACAGAAAAAGGAAATGTAAGTACTTACAATGCCAGTGTCACACAAAGGATCAAAGGTCCCCACAAGTCCCCTATAAGGCAAGGAAAGACAGAAGATTACTAAAAAAACAATATGTAGTATTTTCCATCTTTATTCCAATATCTACTTCCCCCACACCTGGGATTCAGACAGCAAGGCGTTCTGTCTGCCTAGACCCACCCACCTCTCTGTCCCTCTACTTATGTTTCCTGCTCCTCAATTCTAAATGCAGTTATGCCCATATCCTTTGTTTCGTTCACTTCATTACCTTGTAAGTCACTATTCTCCCCATCTACTAAGCCACATTCCAGCATTCTATAACTAAAGTCCAAAGAAGCAGCAGTTGGAAGACCTACGTGCCTTACTTTGCATCCTCAGGAAAAAAAAAAAAGACTACAGTCAAATCATTTCACCAATTTGAGGCTGTGTGAGAGAAGGCAAAGATAAACCTGTTCACTTCAAAAAATGATAAATGAAACTGAGAAGGAAGTGGCTTGAGCTGGGGGTGGAGCTCAGTGATATAGCACTTCCCTAGCATATGAGGTCCTGAGTTCAATGCCCTGCATCACAAAATAAAGAAAAAAAGAAGGGGTGACTTGAACAAGTTTATATGTGGAGGTGGGACCAGAACCTAGGTGTGCTAATTCTTAGTCCAAAACTTGCCATTCTTCCAGACTGCTTCCCTTTCATAATTATTACACTGAACTAATACAGAATTGCTATTGTTCTAGGTAAAAAAAAAAAAAAAAACTCAGCCCGATATTGGTAATTTCATAAGGTTAAATTTTAAAAACATGTTAAAGAGCTTTCTGAAAAATATAAAAGGCTCAATCAATAGCTGTTGAGTGATTAGTATGCCAACAATTCATAAATACATGGCTCAGAGCACAATTACCTTCCTCAACTAATCCAAAAAGGGTCCTATGTCTAACCTGAACCTTATACATACAAACACACACACATACACCACACAGATAATTGTACCTATATGTACATGTTTACACTGTTTCTTTTTAATTATATAGTAATTTGTATATCAATGCAGAATTTGGAAGAGGGAAAAAATCACAATCCTACAATTCTAATCAATGTATTTAACTGCAAAACTATATTAAAATAATATTAATGTGCTGTTTTTCGATGCACTGGAGAATCTTTTAATTCATACAAAATCACTCACAGAAGCTAGGGGTGGGGGCATACACCTGTAATCCCAGTGACTCAGAAGGCTGAGACAAGAGGATCACAAGTTCAAGGCCAGCCTCAGCCACTTAGCAAGACACTCAGCAACTTAGTGAGACCCTGTCTCAAAATGAAAAGTAAAACATAGGGTTAAGGATATAGCTTAGTTGTAAAGTGCTATTGGGTTAGATCCCATATCACAAAAAGACAAAAAGGTACTTTTAGTTATTTTCTTATTGTAAAATATATAACACAAATTTATCATTTTAACAATTTCTACATGTATAATTATTGTACACCCATCATTATCATCCATCTCTGGATATTTTTTCATCTTCCCAGAAAAGGTAAGAAAAGGTAAAATGTTTTAGCGAAGATCATACATCTAGTGATGGGACCATTATTCAAATCCAGATTTACCCATGCTCTTTCCATTATACCATCGATAGCAAATCAGTTTCAAATTACGCATCAGCTCCAACCCACAGTGCAGAAGGATTCTGATGCTGCATCCAATCTCCACACACAGCAATGGCATACTTGCCACTTATTTGACATTCCTATATTATAGCTGAAATGCTGCCAAAACAGAAGGCATACTCATGTTACAGCATCATTACCAATGACTTGATTATTCTGACAAAGAGTAATAAGAAAACCAAGGCTGCTTAAAAAGAAAAATGAGAAACCTAATAATTTCAAGAAAAAGTTCTAAGTACATAATTTATTACACTGTATTGATAGACCTCTTTAACAAAGAAAGATAAACATACTAAATGATAATTTTGAAAAGAGAAAGAAGTTTGGCTTCTTTGAATATACATTGTTCTCTGCATATGACCTGAAGCAATTTTTTTAAGTTGAAGCACTTTTAAATGCCAATAAATATATTGTTAATTTGTTAATCAAATTTGCTAATGGGTATTTGTTGTTATCATCATTTAACATTTATACATTTGGAGATTGTTAGTTTTTTGGGAGAAGAAAGTCCCTATGTGTTAGCAGCTTCTAGCAGAGGCCACTAAAGCCCATAGAGCAGAAGTGCAATAAAAGTATGGCCATTCCAACAGGAGATTGCTAGATTACTTTTTTTAAAAATATTTTTTGTTTAGTTGGCGATGGACACACAATATCTTTATTTATTTGTATGTGGGGCTGAGGATCTAACCCAGTACCTTACACATGCCAGGCAAGTGCACCACCACTAAGCTACAACCCCAGGTCAGCTAGATCACTTTTTTTTTTTTAAAGAGAGAGTGAGAGAGGAGAGAGAGAGAATTTTTTTAATATTTATTTTTTAGTTTTCGGCGGACACAACATCTTTGTTGGTATGTGGTGCTGAGGATCGAACCCGGGCCGCACGCATGCCAGGCGAGCGCGCTATCGCTTGAGCCACATCCCCAGCCCTAGATCACTTTTAATAGCATTTTGACATCATCTGCTACAGTATTTTCCAGGTGAAGGTAAGTACTATAGATGAAGACAATGTGATAAATAAAATCTTCTCATCTTTAAGTTTCCTTCTAAAGTTCCTTCCAAAATTTCATTTATATATATTTTCATCTTGCAAAATGGTGTCAGTTTTATTATTGCACAGTCTTTGCCTTATAAAGCATTAACACTAAGGTATGATAAGATGAAGTAAATCCTCAAAAACCACACACTTGGGCTGGGATTGTGGCTCAGCGGTAGAGCGCTCGCTCGCCTAGCACATGCAAGGCCCTGGGTTCAATCCTCAGCACCACATAAAAAATAAATAAATAAAATTGGGCTGGGGTTGTGGCTCAGTTGCAGAGCACTTGACTCGCACATGTGAGGCTCTGGGTTCAATCCTCAGCACCATATAAAAATAAATAAACAAAATAAAGATATTGTGTAATAAATAAATAAATAAATAAATAAATAAAAGATATTGTGTCCAACTACAACTAAAGAAAAATTAATATTTAAAAAAAAACACATACTTACAATCTCTCAAAAGAGTATTACTTTTCCTTGGATATAAAACATGCATGAATTTTTTCCCAACAGCTTTTAGATCACGCATCTGAAAGACATAAACAACTCATATTATGATGACCAAGGCAGCCCCCTCACTTAATTTACTGTTTCTACTCTTTCAGTCTCCTCCAAACTCTTCATTGAATTGTGCAGCTACTTCTAGTTTGACTCCTTCATTTCTTTGAACAACTTGGAGAAGTAGGACATGAGTTTTCTATTAGCTCCTTAAGCAAACATCTAACACTTATTCCACATCTACCAGTTCTACTTTGATTTTGAAAACTCTGTAAATGAGAAACAAAGTCCTCCTGATATGCTACTTAATTTAAAGAAACTAAAAACCACAGCATGTGACATTTGGTTTATACATGATGCAGTCCCAAGGGCCATTTAGCCAGCTCCCTACCTACTGAATATAAATTAAGTTTTTACATTCACACTTTACCTGATAAATGAATAAATCAAGATGTTTGAGCTCATTCAGTAATGCAAATATAATCTCTCAAAATACAGTGGAGATAATTCCACCTTAGTCTTCAATTTTTAATTGTTTGGCATTTTACTAAAATTATTTACTTAACCAATATCCCATCTTGTTGTTCATTGAAGATGTTTCCAAATTTCCTTTATTATAAAAATGCTAAAATGGACATCCTTGCATATTGAATGTTTCTGTCAAAAATCTTTGTTTTATTTTTCATTAGACTATATATATTTAGTGAAGCAGAATTATTGGTTTCAAAAGATTTGGACATTTTAAGATTCTTATACCCATTACAGCCAAACTGTTCTCCAAAAAGACTATATCAAATGATTCCCTAGGGGAGAATCTTTAAATTTCAATAAATAAAATACACCAAAAGTCAATGAATTAAACAAAATATTACAAAGTACTGTTAGTTATTTAGTCCCACAATGCTGAAGAAATATTCTCTCATGTAATCTAACTTACAATAGTGTTCCGAACAGATTCATTTAATGTGGAGCTGTCTGATTCTCGAGTGCGAGATCTCACAGGAATGGTGATTTCTCCTTCTATTGGGATGTCTTGTGAGATGGAAATATCTGAAAGGCCTGCAAACTGAGAAGAGTAGGGGGAGAAAATTAAGCCTATAGTAAACTGCAGAATTCCTCAAAGTCATCATCATTTCCTTTACGAGGAACCATGTCTTTTATAAGGGTTTTGCCCAGTAGTTACAATGGGTGTTAGTTCAACAGACATTAAGTAATGCAGTTATCTCTGAATCAAACACTTCTTTTCAAAGGAGATGTAATATAATAAAACAAATATTGAAAGTAAATGCCAGAGACACTATCTTGCCCTCCAATATTTAGTTTCTTTCAAGTATGAAATCTCTATATGACAGAAACTAGTAAGGTTGAGATGATAACTGCAGAGCTATTAAAAAGTGATCTAGCAATCTCCTGTTGGAATGGCCACATTTCTATTGCACTTCTGCTCTAAGGGCTTTAGCGGCCTCTTCTGGCTAAGAACAAGCATTACATGAAATGGAACGTGAACTGGGAAGAACAGTAAAAAACCAACTTTATGAATATTGTTTTTACCAGTTTACCTGGCAACCACAGATCAGGTAAAATTTTCAAAATGAATAAAGAATTTGAAATTTTGAGTTCTTATGTTCATCTGCCACATTTAATTATTATGACCAAAACTCTGAAATCAACAAATTCCTAAGAAAAATGAAGCAATCCCATCTTATATAGTTTTTGGTCCAGTGGATACAAAAGACAAGCAACTTATCAAATACACTTAGAATGTTTTCTTTAAAAAAAATAAGGAATAAACTATTTTTAAGGTTTCCTATAGAGGAAAGGAGGAAATTTCATGGTAGAGCAGAAATGAAAAACAGTCAGATCCCTTTAAATATTTGCTGTTTTCTGTGTATGACTTGAAATCATTTAGTTCACATAATGATAAAACAAAGTTAAAATTTAAATGAAGTGATCTCTGAACTAAGTGAAGGCTGGGGTTGTAGCATCAGTGGTGAAGCACTTGCCTGCATTGTGTGAGGCACTGGGTTTGATCCTCATTACCACATAATTAATTAATAAATAAATAAAATAAAGTTATTGTGTCCATCTACAGCTAAAATATTTTAAAAAGAGAAACTAAGGGAAAGATTGAACAAATAAACCTACTCTATACTGAATTAAATACACAACCACACAGAGAACAACTATTTCAAGTGACTACATAATACTGTAACTTGACTTCTGACTAGAATATAGAAAGCTGGAAAGATCAAGCCCCCACACCAGAATGAGGAGGAAAAAGCTAGATTAAACTATAAATCATAATGTTCCTTAAACCCAAAGAGCTGAGGTTGTGGATCAACTGAGTATAATCTGAGGAATAACAGGTGCTTCTAAGAAGAAACAGGACACCAGCAGTGGCTCAGCTGTAGCAAATCCTGAGAAGATGATGCCATCAGGCACCACACAGATGAGTAAGAATTCAGCTAAAATTGTAAATGAATTGCTAAAGGTCAAGTATGTGTGAACACACAAAAAAAGTACAGAACTCTTGGAAGTGACAGACACAAGGGGCATTCATACTCACATGCAGAGTTCCATTGGGAGTTCACAAGAAAGACTAGATGGGGAACAGTATGGCTGGTGTAGGGAAAGGAAGGGAGGAGCTGGCAATCTAAGAACAGTACTCCACAAATTTCTATTCCTTAGGGAGGACAGGAAACCACCTGGGCCCAGACCATTAGCGTTTCCTTCAGCTGAGGAAGAGACAGGATCACTGGGAAAGTTCCACTCAGGGAACCCAGAGACACATGACCTGCCTAAGATGGAGGCTGGACCTTGATGACAAGGAATCCCCAGCACCACCAAGTAAGCATAGAGTAACAAGTAATAGCCAGCTACTGCTGAGGGAGTAGAGCTTAGACAGACCCATTCTGAGGTGCAAAGTCAAAGATAGAAAGATGAATGAACAACAGGAATCTTATGAAAAATCAATAAAAAGGGACACTTTTCCTACTATATGGAATAAAGTGTTCCTCAACTCTGGGATCAAAAATAAAACCAATGAAGATGCTTTAACAGAAAACTACTGGAACAACCCAGCACCCACCCTAAGCCCAAGGTAACATTAATGATATTTGAAACCGGTGAATCTTTGAAGGTCCCCTTAGCAACAAAACCCAAATAAAATTCAACTCCTTACTAGAATGACCTAATTCCCACAGTGACAATTTCAGCTATCTCTTCTGTTCTATACACAATATCTAGCACTCTATTAAAAAACTGCATTTGGGGCTGTGGTTGTAGCTCAGTTGTAGAGCACTTGCCTACCATTGCTAGGTAGCACCACATAAAATAAATAAATAAAATAACCTTTTAAAAAATACTGCATCGATGAGGCCAGTTTTTAAATTATGAAGACATGATTTAGGAGGTAACTGGAAATTTGAATTCAGATAAGACTTCATTGGGGACGTAGCTTAAGTGGTAGAGCACTTGGGTAGCATGCATGAGGCACTTGTATTTCTTAATTGTGTGAGGTCAATATTAAGAGCAGCATCAGTAAAGGAGCCTAATTACAAAGGACTGAGTGGGAGAATAAAGAGAAGTTGGATCAGGAAAGAGCAATGGAGAGTAGTTTGAGAGAATGGTAGAAACAAGGGCGCTAATTCCTGCTTTATGCTTCCCCTTGTTGTTGATTCCTTTCTCCCTCGCTGGCCCAAGGATCCTGAGGTGGGGCTGTAGTCCAGTGGTAGCATATTTGCCAAGCATGTGCAAGACCCTGGGTTCAATCCCCAGTACTGAGAGAAACGAAAGGAAGAAAACGAAATACAAAGTTCCTTTCTCAGTTTTCATCCTCTGAATACTCTGCAGCATTTTATGCAATTTTTTTTTTTTTTTTTTTTTTTTTTTTGCAATACATTGGATGGAAGCCAAGGGCAATGTGCCTGCTGGGGAGTGCTCTACCACTTAGCTACATTCCCAGGCCTAAACCACTCTTTTTTTTTTTTAAAGCCATACTCTCTCTTTTTACTAATTGGACACCATTATTTCAAACTCTAGGATCTTTTGATTTGTGTCTTTGCTTCCTGCTATTACTAGGTAGGTGGGGCAGTTGGCAAGAAGGACAGATTCTAAGGACAAACAGGGCTCTGTTCTCACCTGGTAACAATATTGCCATAAGAATCAAAGTAACACCTGCAGAACACCCAGCACACAATGTTTACTCTATTATTTGGAGAATAATGGTGAAGATTCTGGCTGGAGCCAAACAGTTTGGGTTCAAATTCCAGCTCCATTGTTTACTTCCTGTGTGACATTGAGTAGATTACTTAACCTCTCGGTGCTACTGTTTCCTCATATGCAAAATTGAGACATGGTACCACCACCATAGGGTTGTTGTAAGGAAAAATGTACTAATCCATGTAAAGTACATAGTATCAGACACACAGCAGGGGATAAATATTAGCTCAAGATTACCAAGGGAGTCAATTCCACTTCTTTTACTATTATCAAATAGTGGCTGGTCTTTGTCCTGCTTCTGGGATGTAGCCTCTAAACTCATAGAATATCCTAAATGATAGGAGTATTTTTGTTACTGATGGTGGGCTCTGATAGTTTATGCCAACAAGTGAGTCATGGCAGCCCTATTAGATAAAATGACTGAGGAAAGAGGCAACTACTACAGAAAGACCAAATATATGATTAGAGCATTGGGGCTTCAGTACACAAGATCAAAGCCCAAGCTTTGAGGGAGGAGAGGAGCAAGAGATTGAGTTCATTTACATAACCAATGATCCAATAAATCATGCCTATATAAAGAGACTCCAATGAAACCTCAAGACACACAGGTAAGCTTTCCTGGTTGGCAGTGCTCTTCATATGGTCACGTGGCAGGGGATAACATGTTTTGACTCCACAGGGAGAAGACAAAGAATCTTTGTGTTTGGGATCTTACCAAACTTCACCTTATGCATCTCTTCCTTTTGCTGGTTTGGATTTACACACATTGAGTACAGAACACATATGCATTTTACTGACTGGCTTGAGCCAGTGAGGGAGAAAGGGATCCACAAGGGGGAAGCATGAAGCAGGAATTAGCTCAATGACACAGTCTCCAGCCAGCCCTGTCACCTGGGCCAGCTTCCTTAAAGACCCAGCTTGTAGCCATTATTATAGCTCTTTCTCCTGCTCCCTAATTATGGATGGGCATTACCCAAGACTTTGTCTTTTCAACTCTGTGTAGATGAATCTTACACATCAACAGTTCTAGTCCTGACCTCCTCCTCCTTTTCTCCCCTATGCTAGGGATGGAATCCAGGGTCTGATACATGCTAGGCAGGTGTTGTACCACTGATCCACACCCTCAGGTCCTGACCTCTTCTGAGCACTTATGAGCAGGTTTGAAAATCTGACTACCTATTGAATATCTACTAAATGGCCTGCCTTTATGTCAAACTAAATATATCCAAAAGTGAAGTAATCACTTTTTTTTTTTTTTGAGATGGAGTCTCACTATGTTACTCAAGCTGGTCTCCAACTCACCACTCAAGTGATTCTCTTGCCTCAGCCTCTGGAGTGCTGGGATTACAGACATGTAATGTGCCACCATGCCTGGCTTTGTCATGCCCAGCTTTGAATTATCAATATTGAAGGCCCTCCACCAGCTAACCTTCAAATGTAATTCATTTTTGTTCAGGTTAACACTATTCTCTCAGATGTCTATAGCCTTGTTTTTAAAATGTGGCACTGAGAGCAGCAGTAGCAGCAACATCACAGGAAACTTGTTAAAAATGCAGAAACTCTGGCCCCACCCCAGACCTACTAAATCAGAACCTACAATTTAACAAGATTCCCCAGATGACTGACATGCATGTTAAAGTGTAGGAAAAACTGATTTTAGACAGACCCTCATGGATTCTGCCTTGTTTTTCAAATCCTCAAATCCCCCACCACTGTTGTAGACTAGATTCCCCTTTATTCCCTTCCTGAACTTTCTGCAACAACTTCATTGATAGATTGCAGATATCCCCATTATAACGCATTTCCTTTTATGTTGTCAAATTCTTGATTTCAAACCCTTCCCTCCTCAAAAATTTCTATGGTCTCTTTTTAGCCTAACAAACTTGCCAGCTTAGCAGTCAAGAAGAGGAGGGGTTGGGGTATAGCTCAATGGTAAGAGCGCTTGCTTAGCATATAGGAAATGTAGAAAGCCCTGGGTACAATCCCCAGAACCAAAAAAAAAAAAAAAAATAGAAATGACATTGCATGATTACTATGTGCCACCAGGTACTTTCTTAACTTATTTAACCCACCTAAAATCCAATGAACTAAGTACTGCAATAGTCCCATTTTACAGATGGGGAATGAGCATAGAGGGGTTTGGTAATTTCTCCAAGTGATAGTGATTTATGCAATCTGACTTCAGAGAATACATCCCTAATCACCATTCCATACTGCCTCCCTGATTGAGTAGGCTTATTTTTTAAGTCTTGCCTCCTAGTAATTTCCTGCACTTCACCCAAAGTTATGTTGTTCTGTAAGAACATCAGTCCTAGCACAGTGGCCCAGCAACTTGGGAGGCTGAGACAAGAGGATCACAAGTTTGAGACCAGCCTCAGCAACTTAGAGGGACTGTCTCAAAGTAAAAAATAAAAAAGGCTGGGAATGTAGCTCAGTGGAAAAGCATCCCTGAGTTTAATCCCTAGTTAACCTCCCCCAAAAGTATCTTGGCACCTACCTCTGTGCCTTTGTCCTGAAAAGCCTGTGTAGCATAACTGGAAATGGTCTGGGTTTCAGAGTCATACCTAGGTTCAGATTTCAGAACTGGCCACTAACAGGATGTAGATCCTAGGGAAATTAAACCTCTCTGTTTCATTTCCTCACCCATATATAAAATGAAGTTAAACGCCACCTAATTAAAATGGTTCCTGTGAAATTTAGAAAACATGCAGATGTTTAGCACAATGCCTACCACCTAGCAGGTGCTCAATCACTAATAATTCCTATGCTTAGCTGGAATTTCAAATCCTATCCATCCTTTGAGGCCCTCTCAAATACAACTTCTATCATGTAGCTTGCTTGGTTACCCCAAATGAACATGAGTATCTTCTCTTAAATTTCACTAATATTTTAATGTGTGACTTACTCTTACATACTCCCTTATCTTAGCATTGTATATTTGTTATCACCCCCTACAAATTAGACTATAAGCAACCATAGGGGCAAGCCCTTCAGATTCCCTGAGTCAACAAGCACAGTGCATTAAACATCATGGGAGTTCAATAAGCATTTGTTGACCAGAAGTAGATTTGATACTGAGTAATGAGTGATCAGAACCACTGACATTAATTGGGGATAGTTTCACAGAAAAAGAGCGGGGGCAGTTTGGATTAAAGGAACTGGAAACAGCTAAACAGCTCTAACTTCTTCATGGTAGGTACTATGCGTATATTAGCTCACTTAGTCCTCTCAGTAATCCTGTGATGAGTATCTATTGCCAATTTACAATTGAGGAAACAGGTTCAGAGTGATTTTACTCAAGGTCACAACTGCTCCATCAGAACTTGCCCAACTCATTTTTGTGTGTGTGTGTGAATTGTTGGGGATTGAACCCAGGGTGTTGCACATGCTAGATAAATGCACTACCAGTGAGCCACAAACCTAGCCCCAACTTACTTTTCATCGTTATGTCCCCAATTCCTGAAAGTGTGTCTGGAACATGACTGATGCTCAATAAATATTGCAAGAGATGAACAAATGAGATGAAGGAAGAGATGAGCAACTAGAGCTAGTAAGCAACAGAGCCAGGACTAGAATCAAATTCACTTGAATCCCAGTACAGTTCTTCACTATACTAAGTTGCCAATTTAAGAGAGAAATGGAGATGCCATTTATTGAGCAAATAAATGAACACTGGGAGAAAAGACATGGTGTAGAAAGTTGACTTAATTAAATGCTGCAGTTCAAGACACTGATTGTATTAAACACTCTAAATAACTATGTTATTTTATCATCTTAACAACTTTTGAGGCAGATATTTTCATCTCCACTTAACAAAGGAACATCCTCCCTGAAAGGACTTGCCCAAATTCACACAAGAAGCAGAGTGGATGGAATGAAGCCTAGGTAAGTAACTGCAAGGCTTGTATTCTTAAATAGTAGCAGCTTTGGAATTGTTAAAAAAAAAATAAGAGAGCTCATGTATAATGGCATAATTTGGCGTGAACATACTTTATATACAGAGTTATGAAAAATTGTGCTGTGAATGGATAATTATGAATGTAATGCACTCCACTATTGTCATGTATGTAAGAAATAAATTTAAAAAAATAGTAGCAGTTTTGGGCTTGTACTTGGAATAGAAAGTCTATCCCCTTTAGACAGAGCAGCAAGAGTATCCTGAAGAGGATGGCAAGGAGATGGGATTAAACCTAGCCTACGAGGGTCCACTAAACAAGTAAAGACTCAAATTATAAGCAATAGGATGTTCATGTCCCATGAAAAGTAATCTCTCATTTCTATTCTAGAATGCTACTATTCCAACAAGGGCTTATGACAGGTCTTGATAAAATCAGGGCAGGGGAAAACTTCTTAGCCCAAGGAACAGGTGCGGTGTCGAGGTTGGTTCTAGTATTGAGTACAGCAAACGCCTGCCGGGAGAAGGGGCTGCGGCTATCTCAGGCCTTGAGTCCATTCCCCGACTTCTTAGGGGGCACTCTGCCTCACCCACGGTCCCTTTTATGTCGCAATTCCCCAGCTCACCAGGGGCCTGGGCGACGCCGTTCCCGGGTCTCCAGGAGACTCCGCCGCTTCCGCCATGACGGCCCTCCTTCTGCCGGGTCGCTCCCACAGGCCTTTGCGGAACCTGAGACGTGGAGGCCGCTGCCCGTCAGAGCGTCGTCGCGTGGAGGCGGCGTCACTGAAAGGCGCCTGGTAACGGCTGGCGACCCAGATCAGCGGTCCGGACCATTCGCTCTCCCTTGTCCTGGGGGCGTGGGGGAGAGAGCTCCGCAGTCGCCTCGCTTCTTCGGAGCCACGGGTCCCACTACGCACTCGACCCCTTTAACACTCAAACGTGAATCTCAAATCCCTCCTTCCGCCTCCGGACCAGGACGCACTCCTCGACCCCACCGGTTTCCACGCACCCGTTTCCCCTTCTCCGGAGGTGGTTCCCACGCCAGTCCACCGAGCACGGTGCTTCTTGGGAAAGGCCTGTTCCCTCCCCCACCCCACCGCGGCCGCCTAGCAACTTCAAGTCTTCGTGCTCCCAAATGCAGACATCATCCCTTCCCGGACACCTCCCTCCACCGCTGCCCCTGCCCCGCTGATTCCCAGCGCTTCTCGTCTTGCTGCCAAGCCGCCTCCTAGTGCCTCGACTCTTCCAAATCTCTACCGACTCTGCCTACCCTCCAAAATTACTTTTCTCCCTCACCCCCCCCCGGGGGCTTCATTGGGCAAACTTTTAAATTCCACTATTTGGAGCAAGTAGTGAACACGTTCTCAGTCTAAAAGACGGTGACTACTGTGAGATTCAACTTAAATAAAATAAAACCCTGCACATCTCAACTCTTTCACATACCTCATCCTTGGGCTGTGTAGGTGTTTCTGACTCTGGTTTGCCTCCGTACACCTTGGCCTGTGGCTAAAATGAGGTAGGACAATATAGCCATTGTTGACGTAGTGTTTTTTTTTTTTTTTTTTTTTTTAAGGATACTTAGATGCCCTTAGGAGGAGTGTTTACCAGTTTAAGCATTTGACCAACAGAGTACGACATGTGATGTGAAATTGCTTTGTATTTTTTGCTGGGCAATCCAGGAAGGCACCCAAATAGTGAATTTTAGGAGGAAAAATGTGAAATGTGGAAGGAAAAAAAACTCCCAAACTAATGGAGTGGGGTTTTTTTTTTGGGGGGGGGTGGTTATCATATTGTTTTAGATATTGTTACAGTAATTCTTTTTCAGACCAAGCACAAATCCAGTACTTTCATAAATACTAGTGCAAGAGATATTAAAATTTAGGGTAGTACATATGAAAACTTTTAAAATTTCACGAGAATAGCATGTACAACTGGCTCAACCCCAGGGATGTCCTTCTACCCCATCCACCCTTCCCCCACTCCCTCCCCATTCCCCCCCCCACTTATAATCCTATCCCCAAGTTCCTTCCTACTTCTCTGAAGCCATTGATAACCCTTCCTATTTCCTTGCCAACCTCCCAAATTAGTTCTTTCCCTAACCACAAGCCCTCAACTTCTACACCAACCTTATCTTTTGACCTCTTAACCACTCTTTCAAGATGGTCTTAATGCTGTTAAGAGGAAAACAGGCAACTAAAAAAAAAAAATAAAAAAAATAAAAACAGTGTTAAGCCAGTGTTCAGGTTACCTGATTCCAGACAATCAATGCTCATTTCCTCATTTAACTGATAGGATACTTGGTTGATTTTCATACATTGAAGAAAAGCAGGAAGGAAGGTTATGAAAGAAGGGGGCAGAATAGTGAAAAACTCCTAAAATAGGAATTCATATATGTTTTTAGTTGCAAATGTATATTGCAAAATTTCTAAACTAAGTAGTTGTTTTCCTTTGGGTCTCCCTAACTTGACAAGGCTAGCCACATATTTGTGATTCTCCTGCCTCAACCAAGTAGCTTGGATTACAGGTGTGTCCCACCTCTCTTGGCTCAGTATTCTTTAATGTACCTTAAAGTCATTCCTTTCTTTCATATCATGGACATCCACAGAAGAACTGCCATGACTTGCCCAATATTGCTTAGAAACTTTGTGAAGCAGGATTAATAATTAAGCCAATAAGTATAGAAAATTTTGTTGCTTGTTCTGTATTTCAAGACAAAGTAAATGTTCAATTCTAAAAAAGTAATTGGAAAATACTGAGGAAATAGTTTCCTAAATGAATAGTCAAAATTGACTTAAAGGAAGTAATTAGAGCAAAATTTTGGAAGAAAAAAATTAAGTATATGAAAAGATGCAAAACAGTTTGTTAGTATACTACCATCTGGGTTAAAAGTAGGGAAATGGAAATATAAATACATACACATATATATTTATATATAAATATGAATACATACGTATATTTATATTTCTAAATACCTAAATATTCATAAACTACTACAGAAGGCTACCCAAGAAAGTGGTATCTGGTTGCACAAGAAACCAAGTGTCTGCAGTTATCCCACTCCTCAGTATATTCCCAAAGGATTTAAAAATCAACATACTACCATGACACAGCCACATCAATGTTTATAGCAACTCAATTCACAATAGCTAAACTATGGAACCAACCTAGGTGCCCTGCAACAGATGAATGGATAAAGAAAGTGTGGGGGCTGGGGTAGAGCACTTGCCTAGCATGTGTGAGGCACTGGGTTCAATCCTCAGCACCACATAAAAATAAATAAATAAAAATAAAGGTATTGTGTCCATCTACAACTAAAAATAATTTTTTAAAAAAGAAAATATGGTATATGTATACAATGGAATATTACTTAGCCATAAAGAACAATGAAACTATGGCATTTGCAGGTTAATGGATAATGAAGTATACTTTGGATTAGACAAAGGGGAATGAAGGGAAGGATGGGGGGATGGAAATAGGAAAGATAGTAGAATGAATGGGATATTACTTTCCTATGTTCACATAGGAATACAAGACCAATGTAATTACACATCATGTACAATCAGAAGAATGGGAAGTTGTACTCCATATATGTATCATATGTAAAATACATTCTACTGTCATGTGTACCTAAAAAGAACAAATAAAAAAAAAAAAGAAACCAAGGGTCTAGCAATAAGGGATGGGTTGACTTTCACAGGGAGATCAGTCCTATGTATGGCTGAGAGGCTCATTCTTCGCGTGACCTTTCTTGCAATTTGAAATATGTACCATATGTGTTACTTTTTTAAAAAAATGATTTGTAAATGAACACAATAACTTTTTAAAAAATAATTTTTTATTTTTATGTGGTACTGAGGATCAAATCTAGTGCCTTACACATGTTAGGCAAGTGCTGTGCCACTGAGCCACAACCCAGACCCCCATATGTGTTACTTTATTAAAGTTACCAAATTTACCCAGATGTTATCACAGGCTATTCATTCAAGCTGTCAAGAAAGAGATACTTCCAATACTGTATAGATGTTTCTATTTAACACAAAGTTCACAAATCTATTTTGGGGACCTAGTGTAAGCACAGTATCAAACCTGACAAAGATAGTACTAAAAGTCTTATATGTTAGTCTCACTTATTAATATAAGTATAAACATATTAAACCATTGGCAAATAAAAATCTGTCAGAATAATATAATACTCCATGACCAAAAGGAGTTTTTCTCAAGAAGTATAAAGTTGGTTCAAAAAGCAGAAAATGTAGTGATGAAAATTGATCATCTTAATACATCAGTTCTGGGGATTGAACCCAGGGCCTCACACTTGCTAGGCAAATGCTCTACCACTAAACTGCATGACCAACCCTTTAAAAAATATATTATTTTGTGACAGTGTCTTGCTACCTTGCCCAGGCTGGCTTCAAACTTGCAATCCTCCTGCCTCAGCCTCCCAAATAGCTGAGATTACAAGTATGCATGACCTTGCTTGGCAAAACCCATCATCTTGATTTTGAAAATTCTATTTTTTTTCCTGAAAGCGAACACATTTAGTAGGACTAGAAAGCTGCTCACTTAATGTGACAATAAATGCTGGTCTCCAAACCAACATAGTATACTTGGCATTCCCATTAAAACCAATAATAAGACAAAATGCCTATTATAGAAATTATTAACACTTTTCTGGAAGCACTAGACAATGCAGTTAGTTTCTTCCTCTTCTGGGAAGCAGGGTCAGCCTTATCTATGCTCTTTAAGACCATTGGCTTCACTGGGTCTTCTCGCCCTCTAACACTGGCTTCACGTATCTCCAGTACACAAGCAACCCTCCAGACCTATAAACTGCACACATCTGTTTCCCTATCACTATTCCCTTTTCTTTGCTCTTGCCTTTCCCAAAGTACAGCACTTTTCTCTATAAACACTCCACCCTTCCTGGGGTAAACATAGTTTCTCTTCTCTTCAGTCTCAGAGAATTAGTGACAAACTCTCTAACCTCTCTATTTGTCTCCATTTCCTTACCTTCTCCATTCCTGCCATAGAAAAATCCACTCCTTACCCCATTCTCTAGGCATTTCCGCCTCCCCTGAGGTTTACAGTTTTATTTCCATATCAGCCTCCAAACTAATTTTTTCTCTAACCCCTCTATCGTATCCTCTAATCCCTGGGCTTTTTCAGTATTCTGATCTCAAGATCACCTTACCCCTAGGCTAGGAGGAAGCCAGATTATAAGGCAGTGGTGGGTGCAGGCAGT